AGCCAATATTTATAGCCGGTTACAGAAAGTATGTGTCAGGTGCTTGCTAAGCACTTTCCATATATTATCTCATTTAATCATTTTACCATCCTTATGAAGTAGGTTGTATTTTCTAATTTTGTATTTACAAAACTGAGGTTCAGAAGGGGCCAAGTAACCTTCCCAGGCAAGCCAGGGGTGGAGGAGCCTGGAAACCCTTGTAAGGTGCCTGTCTATAGGTTTCTTTTTATTTATCTTGCCTGGGATTTGTTGAGATACTTGAAATTGAATTTAAGTCCTTCATCTGTTTTTGGAAAAATGTGGGTCATTATCTCTTCTCATATTGCTTCTGGTTCCACTTTCTCACCTTTCAGGGACTTCAGTTAAATATATGTTATACCTTCTGATCGTATTCTTTACATCTCTTTTCTTCTGTGTTTTTCTCTTTTCATTCTTCTTTTGGATTACATGTATATATGTGTTCATACATCATTCATTTTTACTGATAATCCAGTTTGCTAATTTTCTCTGTAGCCATGTCTTAACTGCTATTAAAGTCATCAATATGGTTGTTTTTTTTTCAGTTATTTCTTTAATTCTAGAATTTTAGTTTGATCCTTTTTCAAATCTGCTGTGCCACTTTTTACAGTTCTCAGTTTCTTGCCAAGTTTTTTAGGTTTGAGGTTGTCTTCTTGATCATAGTAAAGATACTTATTTTGTAGTCTGTGTTTGAGAATTCCACTATCTGGAGACCCCGCATGTCTGTTTCTGTTGGAATTTCTGCTGGTGTCTGCTTATTTTGTCTAGAGTTCTTGGTTTACGTTAATTGTGTACTGGATATTTTTTAGAAAAATTATTTGTAGGAACAATTTGAGGCCAAGGGTGAAGTTATCTTCCTCTATAGAAGACTTTTTTTTTTTTTTTTTCACTGCTTGCCAGTTCCTGGTAACACCAGCAAACCAAGATCATCTTCATACAATTTCAGGCTTGAGATTATCTGAGCCATCCAGATGGCTTGAAACTGGGCTGCAGGCCATGTGGAGGTTGGTTCATTTATATTTTATCCTCATTCCTGCCCCAAAGAGGGTGGTAGCTTGCCAGGATTCCCCCTGGGCAGTGTTGGACTCCAACTTTTGTATGCCTAACTGCAAAGACTCAAAAATTGCATCTCATCTTCTAGGTTGCCTAGTCAAGATCACTAAATAGCCCCAGAGTAAAAGCATCTCCAGTGCTATGCTGATCTTGATCTAGTAAGCTCTTTTATGATTTTAAGAAGATTTAAAAAAATATATATGCCAGGGGCACCGGGGTGGCTCAGTTGGTTGAACATCTGCTTCTTGGTTTCAGCTCAGGTCATGATCTCAGGGTCGTGGCATTGAGCCTCATGTTGGGCTCCACACTCAGTGGGGAGTCTGCTTGAGATTCTCTCCTTCCCTCTCCATCTGCCTCTTCCCCTGCTCCCTCTCTCTCTCTCAAATAAATAAATAAATAAATAAAT